GGCAGTGCTGTAAAACAGCCGATGCGCAAACCTTCTGCAGAGGAGGAAGAAGACTGAGACAGCTCATCAAGCCATATTGCAAATATTTCAATATTTTCAGTCTCACTTATTTCCCATCTGTATCCAGGACAATTATCCAAGGAACGCACACCAAGAAATGGAATACCAATTAATGATCTTGTTTGTTTGCTTTGATATGAAAGATTGCAGTTTTCAGGACCCCAACTGAAGAAGCCATTCTGTATACCAGATGGCTGAACTCCATCATCAAGGGGCTGGGATGAAGCATTTTAATGGCTGTCTTGGGTTCTAAAAGTTAGGACCCCCCATATGTGCACTGCTTTTCCCAGAAAGATCTACCTGGCACTAGCTTGGTGATTTTCAGCGTCTGGCAAATCTCTTTTTATTTTTCACACCTTTTATTTTACTATGTTTTCTACTAACCCAGATGAATCTTAACCCTTCTAGGGTAAGAAATACTCTCTAAGTATTTTACAGTCTTTTTAGTTTTGTAGTTTCATCTCTCCAGCCCTCTTCAGCTGCTGTAGCTACACCTAAGATCTTTGATTGCGCAATGGTAGCTAATTTCTTGACACCTTTTTGACACCCCTGCAGATGCCCTAGCCTGTAAAGGGAATAGGGAGGGTGAATGGGAGCCATGGAGCCTCAGTGGTCTCTTCTATGGATGTAGGGCCCATGGTATAGGTTGATGTGGGTTTTTGCTGTGGTTACAGAGAAAATAGCTGGTTCCTCCAAAATGAGGGCAGCGTCATCCTCTGCTTTCACAAGAACCTTGCATTGGGAATCACGATCATGTGATGGTAGGTTGAACCCTCAGAGTTTTAACCTGGTAGTGATGTGTATTCATCTATTTCTAAATCCATTTTCAAATCCACAGTGATGGTGTTCAGTTAAGCAATAATTGAAGGGCTTGGTTGCAGCAGCCTTCCTAAACCCATCCCTTTCTATGGAGCTGGTCATGGATAATCTACCAGTTGTGGAGCCCAACATGATTGGAGGGCATCAGACTGGGGAAAACATGAGAGCATGGCTTGTAAAACTCATGCTGAATTGCCTATTCAGTGATGAAATCCTCAATTATCCTAGCCTACCTCAGAAGATTACTGTGAGAATAAAAGAGAGGGAACATGTATGCTATCCTTATTCGTTGGAATGAAGGAATGAATGGATTAAAGAGAGGCATTTGTCTTCTCCAGCTGTGAACCCAAGATAAGTCCATAGTACGAACTTCCTTTCAGTGTCCCGTATATCAAGAAATTTAAGTCTCGTGGTGTCCCCATCACTGGTAGCATTGCTGATTTTACACTTCCGTGCTGCTGGGTTTTTAACACATCCTAGCTCAGATATCTTAACTTAGCACTTGCATTGACTGCAGTTTACAATGCCAGTTTGTCTGTCTTTCTCGGCTTATGTTCAAGCTGCTGTGAGGAAGTTAGACATTTACATTGCCTTGCTTGTAGCTTCAGTGGTTTTATAGAGCACACACAACCGAGCAACTTTGGCATCCACCATTCACAGAATGAACAAACAGAAAAGGTATTTAGACACCGCGGCTTCCTCTGTTTTGTAAAATTGGCAGAAATGTGCTCCATAATTGATGACCTTCTCCACACCTGAAATGTTCTCAGCAGTGTTTCCCACAAATTGCATTCCACGAAGGAATGGCTTTAATTTCCAGAGATTAGTTACATATTAGGCAGCATTTCTATCCCTGAGAACGTTGCAGGTGTGGAAGAGGTAAACCATAACTGTCATGTGGATCAGGTATCATAGGTCTGTTGAATCTCTATCAATGAACACTATCCAGTATAGGTCGTGTTGCTTCTTGCTGTTTACTGGATATTAAAATGCATGCAATATGTTTGACTATATCCAATAGGGCTTTCTCCAAGTTATGTTTGCAGACAACATAGAGCTGTAAGCACAGAATGTAACACTTCAACCACAGTAGCGTTGGAGATATCGTGCCAGTCCGCCAAATTGTTTCCTTCGTGATGCAGAATAGAGGAGTGATCACCTGGTGACCTACTTTCCATCTCTATTATACTCCTGCTATGTACATATCAAGGTTAAGGCTAGAATAACCAAAGGTCACATCCCTCTGGAAACATCCAGGCTAATTACCCACAGTATTGCTTGGAAAGTTCTGTCTTTAGTTATATATAGATATACATGTAGTCCTTGGTTAACAACCACTCATTCAGCGACTGTTCAAAGTTGCAATGGCACTGAACGAGTGGTACTTATGACCGGTCCCCAAAGTTCTGGCTGTCGCAGCACCCCTGCAGTCACATGATCAGGATCCAGGCACTTAGCAACTGGCTCACACTTATAATGGTTGCAGCATCCTACGGTCACATGATCACCATTTGTGACCTTCCCTACCAGTTTCCCACAAGCAAAGTCAATGGGAAGCTAGCAGGGAAAGTTGCAAGTCACTCCTGCTGCTTTTTCTCCTGAGGAGCCCCCTACAGAATATGAGATCCCAAGGAGGTCGTACTCCAAAGCACACTCGTACCACAGCACCCCCTCCCAAGCCTGCACACACTCACTGCAGCACCTCCCCGCCTCACTCCATAGTATTCACCCACCTTCCAGCCTGCTTGTGAGGTGTCTAGGATTTGCACCTTCCAGCTGGCTTCCCTGCTGACTTTGCTTGTGAGAAGCCGGCAGGAAGTTGCAAGTCGTGAGGTCCTTGCTTAACCACCCATGATTTTTGCTTAATGCAGCAACAGGGACTGCTGGGAGTCCCGTCACTAAGTGATGCAGTCATGTGACATTGCACTTTACGACCGCATCACTCAGCGATGGAAATTCCAGTCCCAATTACCATCGTTAAGCAAGGACTACCTGTATAGATATACAGATAATGTGAATTGTTGCCTGTTGTTCATCTCTCTCTCCCTGAGTTTGTCTGCTTTTTTCTCCCATTATGTTTTGTTGATTGTTGATGTTTAATTAATAAACATTAAGATGTGTTTTTTGCTAGCTGAACTGAGTGGCTTCTAGGTTTGCTCTGATCCGGATACAGGGAGTTCCCTGGGTGCTGGCTAAACCGGAAATTGCCCATAATTAAATGGTCTTATGAAAACTGTCTTAAACCTGAAATTCACCAGTTGTCTTGCCTTCAACATTCATAATTCCCAGCCAGAGAGGAGAGATTACATTTGAAGCTTCAATCTAGCTTGCTTTCACTTGCTGTAACCGTGGGATAATATTATCAGCTTATCATGGAAGTTGCTACACAACTAAACTACTAAAACTCTCATTGTGTTTATCTGTTGGGCCGTTGGTCTCAAGTTAGCCTAAACAGTGCATTATACCACAACAATTTTTGAATCAAGGTACCTAAAATCTGCTAACTTAAAGAAGGCGTAAAAAATCCGGAACCCATTACTCTTGTGGAATTGAACTTTCTGCAATGTTCAGACCAGTTTTATTCGCAAAGTTGTGGCCGTTGCAGCGTCCCCGCTGTCACGTGATCATTATTGCCAATGTTCCCTGTCTCCTTCCCACAACCAAAGTCAATGGAGAAGCCGGAAGTCAGAAGTTGCTCCCACTCCCACTGGTTTTTTTTTGCCTACCCGTGGTCATTCTGTTTCTCTGTTTAGGTAAGTAAATATTGACTTATTATTAAAGTTTGTTTGCCACTACAATTATTTTTCTATTTATGATATATACTCTTCTTAGATGATCACAGGACCATCAGTTGCTCCCACTCCCACTGGTTTTTTTTTGCCTACCCGAGGTCATTCTGTTTCTCTGTTTAGGTAAGTAAATATTGACTTATTATTAAAGTATGTTTGCCACTACAATTATTTTTCTATTTATGATATATACTCTTCTTAGATGATCACAGGACCATCCAGCATTGGGGTAAAAAATATATGGTAAGACTAACATTTAACGTTCATTCTGGTCACATCAGACTGCACTACCTTTCTCTCAAAGGATGACCCAATGGGTCACAGGGTTGTCTACTTTGGATTAAGTGTTCTGACCATCTGAACTACTCTACATGAAATTAAGTAACAGCATCATTAGTGGCAATTCATATAGAATTTAGGGATGGGAGTAAATGCTGCCAGATAAAATACCGCATCAGCTTCTGCAACATTAGAAAGCTGTACAGTATGACAAATGCTGTAAGATATTATCAGCTGACTTTCGCCCATCATGTATTGGATTTTCATTATGATAGAAACCAGATGTGTCCCAGATCCTGTTCTCCCCCTTGCAATGTTTTCCCCCATACCCTGTTCACACAGAGCAGTGTTTCGCAACTTTAAGATGTGTGGACTTCAACTCCCAGAATTCCCCAGCCAGCCATGAATTCTGAGAGTTGAAGTCCACACATCTTAAAGTTGCTAAGGTTGAGAAACATTGACATACAGAAAGGCTGCAGTAAGATTCTGGAGAAGGAACAGAGCAGAATCAGCCACATCAATTGTTAACTCATTGCTCCACTATATTGTATATGTGAATGGGCTACCTCGCCCATTGTCAAGCTTTTAACCTGTGCTTTATTTTCCTGTTTATTTATAGCCATTTTTACAGAGATCAGGAACAATTCACTATTTATTGAATGTGGTTGCCTCCCATTTTTTTTGGTTCAAATGCCATCGGCTATGTGGGTGTGTATGTTCCCTTCTCTATGTATGGGTGATTATGTGTGAGAGAGACTGTATTATCTCAATTAAAACAAGACTAGTGTTTTAACAATGACAGCAGCAAGAATTAAACATCAAATCAAGCATAAAAAAAGACCAAACTATTTTTTTTAAAAAAAGAGATTACTAAAATCTTAATAAGTGGGGCAGAGGCAGGGGAAGGATTTGTAAAATCGCAGAGCCATCCGTGAAAAGGCCATGATTCTGTCGCTCCTAACAACAGACCACAGGCTGGGAGTCTCCAAAGCAATGTTATACTTCAGTAGATGTCAGAAAACTATTATTTTGGTTTAAATCACTGTTTCTTACCGGTTCCATAATGAATCCCTTGAGGAGAAGCTGGACAGCCTGGAAGCTGAAGATCTCATGTCTCAATACAAGAAAGTTACCTACAAAAATTTGGAGGTGGGGGAAGAGTGACAAGCTGATTAAAATCAAAGAGAATATATAAATGAAAAGGCATACATATTAAACACATCTACGTGCTCTTTTCTCAATGGCTCATTTAATACACAAACAAGCAAGAACAATATCTACAGTCACAAGGATGTAATTCCAGCAGGAACTGCCGCCAAGTCATTTGACATAAAAACGATTCTGAAGTAAACAATTAAACTTCTTATACTGTAGTTGACACAGCAGTTTTTTATCTCCGTGCAGCAGAAACTCTTCGAATTATAACCATTTCGTACCAGCTGATTAAGGAAATTCTTCCTGCAACAATCCCTTGAGGAAAAACAGAATTGCACACAAAACCCTAAATCCAGGTTAATAAAATCTTGCTCCTGCATTTACATAGTACAGCTTGTCCAAATAAATAAACTCTATTACAGCTTAGCGCAATGACCTGGCTAAGTCAGTGGCGGGGTTCTTAAAATATAGGGAGCCACAAGCGATCAATCTCATTTTAGTATACTGTAGTGTCTTGTGTGGCCCAAGCCAGTTTTTCTTTCAGTGATTGACAACAGCTTTTAAATAAAATGTAATGATGCAGTTTTAGACCCTGCAACAACTGTAACAAGAGAAAACAGTTTAAGTGCAAAGGTTTTTTGAATATTCACTCAGGCAGACAGGCAGGCAGGAAGGGAGGAAGGAAGGAGGGAAGGGAAGGGAAGGGAAGGCTTAGATGACAGCATAGTGTTAGGCTTTCAGTATCTCTCTGCTGCCATCAAGTGGCTGTTCAGGCATTTGCAGCCCAGATACAGTATAATAGCCCTAATTTTTGTAAATCCCACCCCAGCCCAAAGTCAGAGGGAATGGTTCTTGTAGTCCTTTTCACCTCTCTCCACATGCTCTACTGCATGAAATACTTTGGGTGTTGTAGCAAACCATACTTTGTTGTTACACTTGAACTGAAACCCATTGCTTGCTTTAGTCCTCGAAATCAAATTGCAAATTGCAGGTTAAAGCTCTTTTGCTGTCTGGATTTGGAGATCCAAAATTGCATATCCATTTGCTGGATTGGATATAATAGCAACCTACTGTTTGCAGCAATCCAGGAAGTGTGGAGTCCTCAGCAGTCTCTGAGCTCGGTTGGGGGCTTGCAGATGTTTCATTACCTGACTAGGTAACATCATCAGTGCTAATGAAATGTCTGCAAGCCAACAGCCGAGCTCAGAGAGCACCAAGGACTCCACAGTTCAACCCTGAGCTACATATAGTCTCTTCTACTGAATCCAGGAATTATTTAATGAAGTGATTGTGTGAAAGAAGAAAGAATGAGGAAAGGAAAATTAAGTGTGAACTTGGGGTTTTCTTTAGGTTCAGACATGAAGCTAAGCCAGAATTTTTCACAATTTTGGCCTGGTAAAAACATGTATGTCTCTGTCCCACATTTCCACTTGGCTCTCCAGCCAACAGAAGCAGCCAAACATACCATAGAAACAGCTTCCATAGTCTGTTTAGCATAGCTTCCATTTTAAGCTGGAACTACAATAAATCCATCCCTGCCTCCCTCCCTCCCTCCCTCCCTTCCCTGTCTTCAGCAGACTCTCCCAAATTCATGATTCCAAAAGAATTGGAACTACAGTTTCTAGAACTGTTACCAAACTTGATTTTTGACTGGCTATGAATTCTGGGAGTTGTCCAATACATCTGGGATACACTCCAATACATTTTGTCCAATACATCTGGAGTATACCATGCTGGGGAAGGCTGAGTTAAACCAATGCCAGCAGGAATCCTGTAGCAGAAGGGCAGGTCACAAACATGATCGTTAAAATATACTGCTACAGATTGTGGTAAATCTAGTAAGTTAAAAGTGCTTCTGTTCAAACAAGGGGGTGATGCGTTCACTGTTAGGCACTTACGTTGCCTGTAGATATTGGTGGAGCACATTTGTTAAGCCGTTCAGCAGTGTAGCTAATCTGTTCATTAAAAATTCAAATGAAGATTTTTAAGCCTAATTTTAATGACATCTAGGGAGAAGAATCTAAATGTGAATGGTATGATTAATAATGATTATTCAAATCCATTAACGTTTTTTGCTCAGGCAATGGGACTCAGTGATCTTTTAGCTTTCGTTTTAATTCAGCCAACCTCAAGCTAGTCTCTGTATTGTATTTGTTTTAACTGGATAAGAAAGCAATTAATTAACTAGACACCTTATCATTAGAAAAGCCTTAGATTGGTTTGCAATTTTATTCTCAAAATGTAGGGCATGCGGCTTAAACACTGGGTTATGGAAGTAGTATTTAGAGATTGATATCTAGAGATCGTTATTTCAGGAGTTTTGGGAATTCCACTGTACCATTTTGCTAACCCTATCAACCCATCATACAAAGGCTACAATGGTTTATGCACTTCCACTAAAGACTTACCTCTGACTATACATGACCTCTATAATCCTACAAGGAAAGGCTGAAGGAACTGAGAAGAAAAAAACTGAAGGGAGATATGCATCTTCATGGAAGTAGAGACATCCATAGAATACAACCGTTTTGTCAGAATAAGCAAATGAACGTTGCAACGTTGCAGGGCAAACTCTGCCCCTTGTATACAGTGTGAATGTGGGATGTCGTGGCACACATACAATAAGGATGGGGCTTGTGTTGCAGTGCTGTGCCACCGATGTGTAGAAGTATTTGAAAGTAGTCATTGACCTGTTCTCTACTGATCAAGACATGTGTACCTTTTAGACTGATTCCTACAATGTATTTGGAGTGAGGTCATTGGAAGCTCACTTGTATTCTTCTCATTTTTGCATTTATTTACAGGTATGCTGGTTTGGCAAGGTAGAGTGGACTCCATAGGTCTTATGGAGCATGCCATGTTAGATCTTCACCAGACTATTTAGAGGATAGGAACATGTTCTTCCTGCTGAATTTTTCCTAAAGACCTGCTGCACTTCGGGGAGCCTTCAGATCTCCCTGTTTTGAACTTGGAGGCTGTTATTTGGGAACTAATACACCAACACTCATTTATGGTCACTAGAACCAGAAAGAGCAATTTTGTCATTTGTGAATGTTAATGGTGAATATTAGCATCGCAATCCCTGATAGATCTTGATTAGAATTAGCCAAAAAAGGAAGAAAAAGTGTTACCAAACCTATGTTAATATTGTTGCTGTAGTCACTGTGTACCTTTTATCTCTCAACTCTGAATCACAGAGTTTTGACCTTGAGATATAGTGCAAGCAGAGCATAATTATAGTTCTTCTCTCTGTGCAAGCAAACAGTTGCATTTGAAAGATTTGAGAGAGGCTGGTCCACACACTGTATTTTTTTCAACAAATGTTTGGGGGAAAGACATCACTTTACCTTATAGGTATCTCAGAAAACAGGAGGAAATTTTGGTGAGAACTTTTGGGAGAAATAACTCAGTAGCATCAGTTAAGCATTAGCATTATACCAGTGGCATTAATCAGTGTGAACATGAAACAAGTGATAAAATAGTGGGTACACCAAGTGGGTGTGTTTATGGTTTCCATAAAATTTGACCAACTCTGTTAGCACCAGGCACTATTGTGTGACCAGGATGGCCTGGTAACAAAGCTTCTTCAACTCTGCTTGAAATCTTGTGAGATCGGCATATCCTGTGAAACTTCTACAATTTCATTCTGAGATCTTGAATGAGAAAACCAAGCAGTTTCACAAACTTTTGGTTCCTTGTGCAACATCTCTCAAGATTCTTTGATGATGGGATATCAGAATTGTCAATCACAGCATATTTTGGAGAGAATGGGGAACTGAGGAATATTTCGAGGGGGTGGGGGCAGGAGGCTGGGGCTGAAGGAAGCTCCCTTTCCTAGCCTTAGAAAAATATCCATTTGCCAGTGACAAGTTTATATATTTAGTGTCAGAGAAAGCAAGTACTGACAGTCCATAGATACACTATAATGTTAAAAGAATCTGTTTTAAGCCACCTAAGAAAAGTTTGATTCCTTGTTTAACTATTAACAAAATGACTGTGCTGTTCTATGGCTTCCCATGTCCCACCCAGTCACATGACCTTAGATGGATAGATAAACAGAGAGATGGATAGACAGATAGAGAGATGAACAGAGAGGCATAAAGTAAAAGAAAAAAAACCCTAACATTTCCAAATTAGGAATGGATTTGATGGTGTCAGTGAAAACAACAGAAGCTTGGACATATCTCTAGGTCAGTGTTTCTCAACCTTGGCAACTTTTAGATGCATGGACTTCAACTCCCAGAATTCCCTAGCCAGATGGCTGGGGAATTCTGGGAGTTGAAGTCCACGCATCTAAAAGTTCCCAAGGTTGAGAAATGCTGCTCTAGGTTAATGGGAGGGAGGGAGGAACTCTACAATAAAGAGACACCACTACAGATTCTATTAATAATTGAATGCCTCAGTAGCTGCTCTCTGGATCCCTGCCAAACAGCAATAATTCCATCTATCCAGCAAACCAAAATGCAATGCAAAATTATGACGTACAACAATGATGACCAACCTGCTTTGGACAAGAATGGTAGCTCTTCAGCCAACTATCTCCATTTATTGCAAAGTCATCCAAAAGACTGTAGCCAAGAAAACACACAAAGGGATCATTGAACACATAAACCAGGAGTTCTTTCTTGAGGTACAAACAACCAGGCTCAAGTTAACCTACTTTGGACACATATATGAAGACCTAGCTCTCTGGAGAAGGTGGAAGGAAGGAGAAGAAGAGGAGGATCAGCAGCAAGGGAGATGGACTCAGATACAGTGGCAATGAGTGCACTGTTGGAAGGCCTGAAAGACCAGGTTAGGGAGAGATTGTCATGGAGAAAATCTATCTATGTGGTCGCTAGGAGTCAAAAACAATTTGATGGCGCATAATCAGTCGATCAGTTAAGTAAGCCACCAGTGTGGCTTTTAGGCCACCATATTGCTAAGCAGTAGGGCTAATCCCATATAACATCTAGCCCAGGGTACTTGTAATCTAATG